TATCTAAATTATAAAATATATCTCCTATCTCATGGAGAACTCTCTGGACACTGCATTGTGTCAAAGTGGTAGCTCTCCATCCTGTTAATTCCAAATTTGTTTTGGCCAATGAGAAACTACATGTGAACATGTGACTTCTGTTATACTGCAGAAACATATCCCATAACTAAGTTAAACCATGAGCAGAAAGAAGTCACATGTTCATCTCGTTAGATGCAGAGAAATCTTAAGATTCAACATCCCTTCATGATATAAAACTCTCCATAAACTACTCATAAAAGAACAAACCTCAAAATTATAAAAGCAAGCCAACAGTCAATATGTCAATATTATACTGAGTGGGGGAAAAGCTAAAAGCATTCCCTTTAGATCTGGAACAAGATGAGGATGTATACTTTTAGCACTCTTATTCAAGAGTGGGTCTTTTTTTTTGGTTTTGTTTATTTATTTATTTAGTATTACAAGAAGCAATTAGGAAGGAGATAGAAAACAAAGGTATCAGATTTGGGAAAAGGACATTAAAATATCCATGTTTGCAAATGACATGACTATATACATGCAAAAGCTAATTAACTCCACAAAAAAGCTGTGAGAACTAATTTTTTAAAAAGCCAATTCAAGGCAGTCCCAGGTTACAAAATCAACAGAATAGCTTATGTATAGACCAATGATGAACCTGATGACAAATAAATCAAAGAAATACTATTCACAATAGCCACAAAATACTCAAATATTTAGGAGTAAATTTAAGCAAAGAAGTAAAAGATCTCTACAATGAAAATTAGTGAGTATTGACAAAAGATATCAAGAACACAATAATATGGGAAGATATTGCTTTTTCATATAATGAAGAATTAATATTGTTAAAATATCTGTAATACCTAAAGGAACATGCAGGTTCAATATAATCTACCAAAAAACTAATTACATTCTTTACAAAGTAGGAAAAAAATCCCAAAAGTCACACAGAATCACTAAGGATTCAGAATAGCCAATGTAATCTTGAAGCAGCCTGGTCTTCCCCCAAAAATCAAGTTGAAAGCATCATAAGGTCTTATTTCAAAATACACTGCAAAGCTATAACAATTAAAACAGCATGATATTGGCATAAAAGCTGACATGTAGCTCAATTGACGAATGTGCCCAGATCATATCTTTAAAAAAAAGATAATCTGAGAATCTCTTCAGTAAATTGTGCAAGCACAGTTGGGTATTTATCATTAGAGAAACAAAATTAAATCCCAACCTCTCACCATAGACAAAATCAACTCAAGATGTATTAAAGATTAAATTTAAGAACTGAGACTACAAATTTGCTGGAAGAAAATATAAGGGGAAAATGTCTCAGCCCTGGTGTAGGTGATGACTTTTGGATAAGATCCACAAAGCACAGGCAACAAAAGATGAATCATGATGATATCAAACTCAAAAGTTTCTGCACATCAAAGGAAACAATAGAGTGAAGTGACACCTGAGAGAATGGGGAAACATGTCCAGCTAGGATGGAGGATTGACATCCAGAATATATCAACAACCTGAAAAATTCAAAAATCCAAACAACCCATTGAAGAAATAGTCAAAGGACCTCAATAAACAGCTGCCGAAATAAGAAACACAAATGATCAACAACTAAGTGAAGGAAAATCTTCAATATCACTAACCATCATGGACACATACTCAAAACCACAATGGGCTATCATTCTGCCCCTGTCAGAATGCCCATTCTCCAAGAGAGAGAGTGGTAAATGCCAATGGGGATGTGCAAATGATCAACTCCTACACACAGCTGGTAGGGATGTGATCAGTAGAATCATTGTAGAAAGGACTGATAATTTCTTCAAAACCCAGAAACAGACTTGCCATATGGTCTAGCAAAACCACTAATAGGTACATATCCCAAAGAAACGAACTCACTGCATTAACGTGATACCAACACTGCCCTGCTTCAGCACTACTGTTTACATTAGCTAAAATACGAAATTAAGATGTGCATCATCAGATGAATGGATAAAGAAAATTTGATATGTGTGTATTGTATTTGCGAACTATTATTCAGCTATCAAAAAGGAAATTCTATTATTCACACCCAAATGGTTGCAAGTGGGAAACACTATGTTGAATAAAACTGGATTCTACCTTACCTCCCTTATTTGTAGAAGCTAAAAGTTCAAGAAGAAAATGCCAGAGTATATCAATTTTCTGCAAATAGCTCTGTCAAATATGTCAAACAGATTGTCCAGCAGCACAGATTATTGTAGTTTCCATGATTTGAGAACATTTAAAAATTGACTAAGGTTGAACATTTTTCACTGGATCATTGTGTACAGTCCCTGCCTATTTTATTCCCGAAGTACCAACTTTTATTTATTTTTTGTTGAACTTAATTTAGTGGATCACTGATCTTTGTAATCTGAATTAAAATTATGCTGTCCTAAAAACAAATATTGTAAAAAGTAAAACACAAATTTGTAAAGCATTAAGATTATATCATAATTCTCTTTGTAGACTACATTTCAGAATTTAGCCATAGATATTGGATTTCTCCATGGCAATAATCATATCATAAATTCATTTTAGTGACTCCATAATGTTTTATTGCAGTGGATGACAATTATTTAAGTGGATTCTACTGTGTCCAATTATGAGTAGAACTGCAGAGAATGTTTTCATGTTTTGTGCTGAACTGTCCTGTAATTGGAGGGGAAGTGTGGTCTTTTTAAAAACTGAATTTCCAAGAGTAAGTGGTAAGTGCAACAGTTAGGACGCTACCTGAGATGCCTGCTGCTGGGTTTGAGTGCTCTTTGCTTCAGATCCAGCTTCCTGAAAACGCAGACCCCCAGAGGCAGCAGGTGATGGTTCAACAACTTCCTGCCTCCCACATGGGAGACCCAGATGAATCTCTGGGCATTTGGCTTCAGCTTGTCCTAGTCTTGGCTGTCGTAGACACTGGAGAATGAAGCAATGGATGACAGCTCTAGGCCTGCCTGTCTCATCCTCTCATCTCCTTGTTGCTTTGCCTTTCAAATAAGTAAAACTTTTGAAAGAAAAAAAAGAAAATCTAAGCTTTAAATTATACAATGTTTTTGAAGACATCAAGGTGTATCATGGCCTTCAATTTCAGTAATCTGGCAGCTGAAGTGCCATACTAGGGACTTTTATCCTGTATCTTCCTGTGACTCCATCCCCAGCACATTATCCTTTAATTTTCTGACATCATAGTTGCAAAAGAGCTGTAGTCATTCCAAACATTGCATCTAAATCTGGTAATATATTCCCTAACCAATGTTCCTCTTTGGAATGAAAGTTCCAGAAGTCCTCCAGAAGATGATCCCTCATGACTCATTGGCCAACGCTGCACTACGTACCACAGTGTAAATCAGACACTAATAAATGGCATGGATCCACCAGATTGACTTGGCTCATTCATCATTCCCCTCCTCTACCTATGCAAAGAAGGGTGGTAACTCAACAAATGAACTTCTGGTAGAGAGCAAGATAATGGGGGCTGAAAAAGATTCAGCATTCTAGAGCTGAGACACACTCCTTTCTTCATATTTTAGCTTCTTTCCAAATAGACTGTAACCTTTCTGGACCATGCTTTAAAATGATTTATCGCTGAACCTAGTATTCAGTCTTACATGAAGTATGTAAGAACAAACATTGTTTCATGAGCATCCAAGAGCCAGATCAATAAAAACTCCCACAGATGGTCTTAAGGCACTTAAAAATCACCATCATACACACTCTAATGCCTTGGGACTCGTGGCAGTGGAATTATTCTCTCTAGAATAATTCTCTAGAATTCTTCATGTGCTTCCTCATAGATCACTGGTCACCATAACAATTAAGAAAAAATAAATCACAACAGCGCTCCACACCTTTGACTTGTCAGTTTCTCTTCACCTAAGCTGTGCTGACACTTCCGCTAATATCCCAAGCTAAGCATGCATGGTGGTAGCAACTAAAACAGCTTTAGTGGTAGCATTTACATGGTACCAAGATACCATTGCATTTTCCTCAATGTTCCTGCAATCTTTTTATTGTCACACTGAGTGAGCATGTGTCTTTATTTGGCTGAATGTCTAAAATTCCTTCAATAAAAGCTCATCTTTCACATGAACAGGCGTTTCCCTTTGCATAAGCCCAGTGCTGGTAACACACAAAGCAGCTGAGCTTCACTTTGGAAGGAATTTGTTCAAACCAAGGCACTCTCTGACTGCTGGTGTTGAAATATACCTTTCCTGGTGGTCATCTTGCAACAAGGTGGTACAGGCCACCCTGGGATTTTAATTTGTTAGGAAAGGGAAAGAGGCAGTCATAATCTTTACAACAAACATTTCCAAATCTGACTGCACACCAGAAAACGATGAGCAATTCTTTTTAAGTATTAAATCCTGAGCTCCAAAGAATAAATTTAAGTCAAACAGAAGCTCCTGGGCCAGCTTAGCTGAGCTGGGTGAGGGGTATTTTTCAGAGGGTGACCTAAAGCCGTGGACGACAAAAGATGAAATATGGTGAAGAGTGAGTGCCAGAGATGACAAACCACCTCGAGCTTTTCTTTTTGTTACCAAGAGAAAAAAAAAAAAAACTGCTTTATAATCTTGCCTTTGGCAACCTCTTCTGAAACTGGAGAAAGATTAGCTACAAAGGGAAAAAATGAAATCACAATGGTGGAGGCAGAGGGAATAGCTGAAAATATTATAACATTCAAAGGGCATTTATCAGGTGCAGTCAGAACATAGAATTCTTCTATATGAAGAATGCATACACACGTATGTGTATATCTCTGGCAGATTGGTATATGTATAATTGAGTGTGAATAACTAAGAGAAGGCATGCAAAAGATAAGAATGAGTAGATATGCAGCACCCAGTTTGGGTAGGACTTTACGATATGCCAACAAATTGCAACTTTATCCTACATAAGACAGCAAATGCCAGGACTGACTGGAGGGATGAAAAGCCAAAAAGAAGAAAGCCAGAAACACTGCAGTAGGCTGGATTCAAAAAAGCAATGGCTGAGCTGAGTGGCAGCACAAGTTCTGCATGGGTTTCAGGGAGAACGGACAGAAGCTGGAGGTTGGCAGTGAGGCAGAAGCATGGGAATGCATTCCTGGCTTTCCTGTTTCTACTCCAGTACTGATATTACACAGGAGTAGATGATAGGGGAGAAGATACTGCAGGACAGGCATTGGAGTCTGTGTAAGAACTGCTGAGCCCGCCAGGCATATTGATGGGAAAATCTGGTGGCTGACGAATAGCTGTCTGAACTCAGAAGAATCTGGCTGGAGACCGACTGGAATGGAGCACTGGCCCAGAGAGAAGCTCTACTCCAGGGGTCTACTCCAGATGGAACCCTACAGAAACCAGCGACACCTGACTGGGTAGGCCTTTCCAGGAAGGAGACTGTGGGTGGGTGGGTAAAAAACAGGATGGGTAGAAGCCAGAGGTGAAGGATATATCAAGAGAAAAATTAAGTACTAAAAAACCTAAAAAAAAAAAAATCCTAGAAGTTAGGATATTTACACAGACCAAGTGGAAATTATATTAAATATTTGAGGATGTGCATTTAAAGGTTACTACTTGGCAGGGTTCCAGGGCTAAGGAGCAATGTGGCCCAGAACACAGGTGGGACAACTGTTCCTGGTCTGCTGACACACTGGAAAACCTAAGCAATGTCATTCATCGAGTTCCACTTACCATGCTGCTAGACCTATTTTAGGTTTCTTAGGGCCTACTTCCCATCCCCAACCCGCCCAGGTTTAATGAAGGGCAAGGAAGTATAGAGCTAGAAACTAGGAGTATGAATCTTAAGCTCTTGAAACAAGGTTTATTTATGGCAAGTAAATTTCAATCCAAGTATTAACATTAGGTGTGGGTTGCTATGTTTCTGTTATACTTCCTTTTTAATAGGAGAGAGAACCCATTTTGGCCATTGAGGGACCGAGATCAGTGCTGGAAGCTGGGAAGGCAATCCAAGTTTCCCAAGAGGGTGGCAGGTTCCTAAGCGCTTGAGCCATCATCACTGCCTTCCAGCACCTGAGCGGGAAGCTGGAGTCAGGAGCCAGAGGCTGGAACTGAACTCAAATACTCCAGCATGGGGTGTGGGCCTCTTTACTGCCAGGTGCTTAAAGTGGTTTGCATGTATGGCAGAAGGTACACAAGATGTATATACAAACACATGCGCATATCTTTAAAATGCCAACCTTTTGTACGCCTTTACATCACAAATATGCAAAATGCTGACACCTATGTGTGTTTAGGTATGAATGTTTCAAAAACTGTATACAGAAGGCACAACCCCATAGAAAATTAAACTGCTGACAGAGATTCAAATGTTAAGCTGAGATGCTCGTGAAAGATGTCAGTGGAGGTTTCTGGAGAGGCAACATCACAAATGATGAAACTTTAGTATCAGTTTAAATCAAGAAGAAACATCTCCCTTGAGTATGCAAACAACTGGAGGACGACGAAGGAATAATTACATAAACTACTTTATATGAATGTAATGGAAATCACCTCTACTTGCCTGCACTGAGTTAGCCTCATTAACTAATTTCAGAATTAAAAATAAATAAATAAATAAAAAGCCTCTGAGCCTAACCTGATGCCCTGCAGCTACACATTCCACTGGAGTGTTTCTCACCACTCCTGAGAGAACAAGCCTCAACACTTCAAAGACACCAAAACGATGTTATGCCTCCACAGCTTTTCATACTAATTAAAGATGGATGAAAAGCTTGCATTTGTATCTCTATTTGCTCTCAGGAAGACTTTTTTCCAGGGTCCCGTTTTCATTGTCAAGCCCAACTTCGAAACCCTTACATGGGGGGGAGGGGGAGGGTTGACCATTCCTCAAGACAACTCCTGTGCTCCCAGGGGACCGGGCAGACGTGAATCCGATGGTGTCACCCTCGGTTGGGTTTGATGCCTCGGTGCTTTTCCCAGAAAATCTGCAGGCAAGGTCACAGGGTCCACCCGGACTAGGTTTCTTCCATAAAGAAGAAAACTGCTGAATGTCAGCCTCAAAGGACAGCAGCTTAGGGAAAGGTTTGTGTCTTTAGAAAAAAAATAATAATAATAGTAAAGCCTCAATAATCGGACACCATTGGTTTTTTGTTTGTTTTGACAGCTGTTCAAACTGCGTGCCAGAACGAGACTCCCTCTCCTGTCCTGTAAACCAGAGCTCATAAACACACCTTAGGTTCTGAACAAAGTACTCTCCAGGGATGGCTTCGCAGCTCAGCAACCCGTCTCACACCCGTGTTTCTCCACTCAGCGCATCAAGGCCAGGTGGTGGGTGTGTCCTACAAAGCGCTGCAGGTACAGCTAGTCTTCAGCTAATTTTTGCCTCAAGGCACCAAAGATGGAGAAAGTGGAAAGGAAAAGGGGCTGACATTTAGTGCACAGCTCAAGACCACGGCATCTAGCATTGGAAAGTTTCCGGCTGCTAAGCGCACTCCTAAGAGACCGTGGCTGTGACTCAAGTCCTTGGGTTCCCGCCACCCACGAGGGAGACCTCAATTGTGAATTTCTGGCACCTGGTTTCTGCCTTTACAATGAACTGGGCAGTGAACCAGCAAGTGTGAGCATGCTTTGTCTCTCAAATACATAAGTACTTAAAAAAAAAAAGAGTGGAAAGAACTATTTCTGGACTAAGCTTACATTGGTTGCACAGACGAGGTTAAAATAATAAGAGGAATGCAGGCGGAAAGGATTTGTGAAGCGCTTGGTTATTCGCATCCCTCGTGGTAGGAAAACACCAGCGCGCCGCGTCCAGAACAAGTGGGGGAATTACTCACACACTTAGGTTGGAAACTAAGCATGTGGGACTGGATCCCCCAGGCACGGCGGTCCAGGGCAAACGCAGCACCTGTCAGAGCCCAGCTGGGCTCACTGTCTCCAAGACACTGCATCCCCACTCCATGCCACTCGCGGTGGTGACTTTATAGGATACTTTACCGACGGAGTGGACACCAATTTGGGGACACCAAATCACAGGCAGGAAAAAATAATGGAGAGATCTCTTTTCCACCAGTTGGGGATGGCTCGGAGCCCGGACGCGCGCTCAAACGGAAGATTCAAGGAACCTGCTCGCTAGTCCCACATGATCCACACAGCACTAACTCACCGCTCGTAATCCGCGCAAACCGCACACTTACCTTGGCCAAGTGCGAGTACCAGCTGCAGCAGCGTCCGCGCGCCCCCTGCCTGTCCTGGCCGCATCCTGGGACTGCCTCGGGCACGGTGGCTTCTCTGCAGAGTTTACTAGCGGACACTGTCCACCGAGGGCTGCAGGAACTCGGAGACTCTCCAGAGGCTGTCCGGAGGGCTTCTCTTGCCCGAGAAGAACCGCCCCGGTCCGCCCCTCCCGCCTCGGCAAACACGGGATCTGCCCTGGCCCCGCCCCGCCTAGCCCGGGCTCCCGGGCCACACCTCGGTTCCTCCACGCCGCCCCCGGCACAGCCGCACCTGGAGACCCTTAGCCCCGTCTTGCCCGGGTATCCGGACGCTGCGGGGTTGGGAACTGCGCGCCTGGCGGCTGCTACTGCCCTGCACCGGCCTGGCCGGGCATCTCCGATGGGTCAGTGTCTATGCAGTACGTACCCCGCCCCCTGATGGTCGTCGCCTGTCCCCAGAGAATGTCCCTGAGTTCTGGGGCAGCCCCCTTTGAGACCTGACAAGAGAGTGTTTGCAGCCTTAAGTCCAGGTTCTTACAGAACTGCAAAGTGCCTCGCCCTCTCCGCCTTTCCTGGGTGGGTGGAGAAACAGACAAAAATAGGTGCAGAATGACCAGGTTAAAAACTCACTCATCAGGGCAAAATCTACTCCAAAGTTATGATTATCACAGGTGGTATTTAAGAAAGCCCCGCAGGAGCACCAAGAAAGAGACACGGAGCGGTTACCATTCCTGTCCCCTCCTCCAAAATAGCACTGGGCGGGTTTGCATGTGAACCCGTGCTTCTTTGATTCGGCTCAGCTGTGACCATTTTCTTCCATTCTTTCTGTCTCAAGACTGGGAAGGGAAGTTCTTCATATATGACAAGTAAATATATACACATTTACTTACAAACCCAGGAAAGAAGAATATTAGTATGTCTTTAAAAATTGGTCCAGACTTCCAGTGACTGCTTTGGTATCATCAAATGTTCTGTTAAGTTTAAAAAGGTAGTTTTAGGTAAAGTATCATGAGCAGGTTTCACCTCTTTGTGGAGTACAGCTGTGAGCAGTTTGGGTCGGCTGGGGTACCATGACTGAGCAGCAAGGTGGTTTCAGGTGGTTTCAGCATGAATTGGCAGGCTCTAAAGTCTTAGATTCTTTAAGCCTTAACTTGATGCTTATCTCAACACTCAACATATCAGGGACCACACATTCTGGGTGTTGAATCCAAAATGTGTAGCCCCAGGTTCTCGCCCGTTTTCTTATCTGTCATTTCCTAACCCTACTTACTAATCGTGACAAGTCCTTGAAGGTAATGTTTTGTGACTGGTCATGGTACTCACCTGCTTACTAAGCCTCCAGCCCCATCACCTGGCAGCTCTTAGGTGTTGGCGGCTCACTTACCCTGACACACAACCCCACTCCTTGCAGAGTTTGTGCTGAGAGTCAGCCAGGTTTCAGGAAGATGAGTATCAGTCTGTTTCCCTCTGATTCACTGGGAAGTGAGTAAGTGTCTGGACAGACCTTGTTTGGGAGGCAAGATAGTTCCCTCACTGTGAGGCAGAATTCTGTGCTTTGTATCCGGTTGCTGGACAGGAATATGCTCCTTTCTTTGGTTTTGATTCTGAAATTAGCAAATTAACATTACACTAGGATGAGGTCCCGAATACATCAGGAGTCTCCCCCCTCATTCCTCGCCCCAACCCCTCCCCCCAGCAGAGGCAAAGAACAAACCCCTGGTTATGCTAACTGTAAGAGACAAAAACCGTTTACAAGTCCCTGCCTTAATAGTTCTAGAAGCGAACCTGCCCAGGGGAAGGTAATTGCTGTTGTGTGCCACATTCCGACGTGGAAGCAAGGAAGGCAGAGCTGCTCAGCGCTGGTCTCAGGGGCCCTTTCCGCGTTACTCAGGATCCCACTTCGGTTTCTGTGAATGTATTTTATCTGTGTTTAACGACATCAGAAATTAAAACAAGAAGGGGGTGTTTGGCCACATCCCTTAATGGACTGCATGGTTCAGGTCCCAGGTCTACTCCACTTCCTGTCCAGCCATCTGCCAAAGTGCACTCTGGGAAGAGGCATGGGTGCCTCAGTAAGTGGGGCCCTGCCACTCACGTGGGAGACTCAGACGGAGTTCCAAGCTCCTGGCTTTGCCCTGGCCCAGTCCTAGCTGTTTTGGGCATTTGGGAACTGAACCAGCAGGTGGCAGATTTTTTCTCTGCCTTTCAAATCTAAATGAAAAATAAAATAAAAAAATATTTATACATTCATTTAAAAATAACATCAAGTCTACTACATGTTAATATAAACAGCATACATTTTATGAATAACTATGCACAAAATTAAAATTCTCTATGGGAAGGAGTTCATTGTATTACATTTTGGCCAAAGCTTCCAATATTCAGCTTAAATGTAGGAACATGTTGTTTTGGGTAGCTTTGATGAGATTGTATAAATTATTCTGGTGTTGCAAATTTTGAGGGTGCTTATAAGAAAATGAAATCATAACTTCAGTTTGGCCCCAAAAAATCCATAAATATCCAGGGTATTCAAAAAGTTGTTGAAAAAGTACATTTTAAATTAAACTCTGAAAATTATCTTGGGCCAGATGTTTGGTCTACTAGTTAAAAATGCCTGAATCCCATATCACAATGCCCGGTTTGGGGCCCTAGTTCTGTGTTTGATTTCAGTTCGTTGCTGCTTGCATATCCTCAGAGGCAGCAGGTGAAGGCCGCCATGCCATGGCTGGCTTCCATGGGAAGCACCTGAATTAAGTTCCAAGCTCCTGGCTCCAACACTGACCCGACTCAGCCTTCCTGAGCATTTGGTGAGTGACTCAGTGCACGGACCCACATTCTGTCTCTATTCCTCTCTGCTCCCTAAAACCTAAAATGAAAACAATGAACATCTTTCAATTATGTTTTTCATGAACTTTTTAAAATAAGCCTCATGCATAGCTGGAAAAACAGAAGACATTCCTTTTTAACCCCAGCCCAGGAAGTGGTTGTTCCTTGAAGACTAGTTGCAATGTCAAGTACAAAACTTTGTCAGTGACTCCCTGATCTATGCAGTCCAAAGTCCTTAGTCAACTAATCTCTTTGTTGACCCTCTTTGTCTTTGTGAATATGCCGTGACAAGCAAACATGTCTCCTAGTTCTTTTATCAGTGGGAAATATCAGCACAGTAAAACATCCAATAAGATCTCAGGCTGTCATGACAGTGGCCTCCACTTCCCTCTAGTAAACCCAGAGAGGACATTCTGAAACCACCTGGGGTGAGGTAGGACCCTCCCTCTTGTATTTTCTCTTGGATCTGGCCAGGAAGCTAGCCGGGAGACATGCTTAAATTCCGCTCTGACCGCTTTTATCTCCACTCCCTGCTTTTCTTGGTTTATCTCATTCCCACTTGTATATCACCCAAAGCAGAAAGGTGTGCCTTTGTCGTCCAGGCCACCACCATGCCACCAGCCCCCACGTCTTTATCCCTTCCATCATCACTACTGCCATCTGTCCTCAGCACAAGCCCTTCTGCACTCTCACTCCCCTGATGGGCTCTTACCTAATCCCTCAGTGCTTCCTCCTCTTCTGGCTCCAGTCCACCTTACACACCGGCCATTCTAGAAGTCTTTCTGTAACACTGGAACAAGCTGTAGTACCGGACAATCTTTGGATGTCCACAGAATAAAGTCGAAACACTTCACTGTTTAACTCCCACGGAGCCCTGCGTATCTCCACAATCTCTCTCATCATTATCCCTTCTAGTACATTGCACTTCAGACCCAAGCCACTTTTTTCTTTTTTACTGGCTTGTGTTTTTTCCTTATTTCTTCTTCTTCTTTTTAAAATTTATTAGTTATTTTCCCCACTTAGGGTGTTTTTCTCCTATTGTTAATTTCTTGAAATTCTAATTGAAGGCTCCTGTCATATTTTATGTTACCTACCCAGCTTTTTTTCCATTCACTTACAGTTATTCTCCCTTGACTCTTGGCTCCCCTAGGGGTGTGTGTGTGTGTGTGTGTGTGTGTGTGTGTGTGTGTGTGTGTGTGACAGAGACACACACAGAGAGTCTGCACCTGTTCATAAAATGCAGATACCAGGGTGAGACACTATAAACCCGAGGCCCACCAGTGAGAGATCATTTTAATTCTTTCTTTTCTTTCTTCTCCCTGTCAGCTTTCTGCTGGCAGCCTTGTGAGATCTAGCAGCCCTTCCTTCCTATTTCAGTTCCACCCAATATGCCCGTGTCTCTGCCAATCCTTCTTTTTCCTCTTCATCTTGTTTCAGTAGGATTCTGCTCCTCATTCCAGACTGCCTGTAAGACGAGTCTCTCCTATTGGTTGGCCTGAAGGGCGGTGAACACGGGTTCAACCTGAAACTGGTTGCAGCACAGGGCTAATGCTCAGTGGCGGCTTGTTCCCCTGGTGAGTAATACACCAGCTCAGTAAAAAAGTTAATGTCTTCCTTTGTTAATATGAACTAGAGAGATCAGGAAGTTTATTCCTTAGAACTTGGAAAAGCTTGGGGAAGGGAAAGTATTGTTCACATGTCCTTAAGCGTTTTTACTTTTCCCCATAAAGAAATGTGTCAAATAATGAATGAAGGTTGCTCATGGTAGTCTGCTATTCTATTCTATTAGATGTTTTAATGAGAGATCTGTACTCTGAGTTAAACAGTAGTGAATTGAGAGGATCAGGGAAACCCAAAGACATGGGCAGAACCCAAAGACATGGGCAACAGCCCATTCGCAAGTCTCTTAAGCAGAGATAGCTAAACAATAACGTAATTCATTCTGTATCACCGTCAGGGGGTGTATGACTTCTTAGCTTTCCTCTGTAGATCGACTTGTTCTTTTAGGGCTCTGTTACTTGACGTGCAGAACCTTCAGTTTTCCATGACTCTGACTGGTCTGGATTCCATCAGTCCTCATGATAAGGCAGTAAAGGCTCATCTTCAGTGTGACATATTCATTAAAGAACTCAAGGTGACATATTCATTTCCCTTAACTCTTCTGCCAAGAAAGCAACTTTCAGTTCTTTAGATTGCTTTAAAAAAAAAGATTTATTTATTTTTATTGGAAAGGCAGATGTACAGAGAAGAGGAGAGACAGAAAGGAAGATCTTTCATCCGATGGTTCACTCCCCAAGAGGCCGCAACGGCTGGAGCTGAGCCAATCCAAAACTAGTGAGTCTCCCACACGGGTGCAGGATCCCAAAGCTTTGGTCCGTCCTCGACTGCTTTCCCAGGCCACAAGCAGGGAGCTGGATGGGAAGTGGAGCAGACAGCAACTGGCACCCCTATGGAATGCTGGCATCACAGGCCAAGTGCTCCCTGCATCATGGCACCAGCCTCATGAATATGTCATTTTAGATGGAGAAACATTTCCACATCAAAAACTCATACAGAGCCAATTTTGCTATTATCATTATTTGACTATCAGGCTAATGAACTTTGTTTACATATCAGAAGAATGAAAATAGTGACTCTGATAAAGTCCCAATTTTGGAACTTTATTTTTTCACATTTGTCTTCATGGTTCCTGAATAATTCTTTTCCAGACTGTCTTACTAACTCTTGTAATGCCTAAGATTGTTTCACTTGGACTTCATTTAAAAATCTTGCAATAATCTCTCTCTTTCTTTTTAACTTATTCACTTATGTATATTTATTATCTAATATGTGCACATAATTAGACAAAGCACTGTGGTAAAAACCAATACTGGTTATACTTACTAACCATCTTTGATAAGTGTGAAATGCCACTAACAAATATTGTTTTCAGTGTTTTGTTCTATGTGAAAACTCATGCTGCATATATGCAGAGAATACACATTCAATCTGATTTGTGTCATTAGGAGAAATGAAAGAACATGTGCATGTAGACACATTTTATTCTGAGTCAGAAATGATCTTTGTACGTTATAAAGAAACGGTTCAAACCATCATGGACTACAACAGATCTGTAGGTAAAAGAAAACGTTAGTCTGAGGGGAGCTAAGCCTGTAAAACCATATATTTTACATGGTGTACTACAGTAAGGCAATTCATTTTCTTCTGAGGTTATGACCCTTGAAATGTACAGTCATGGTGGCTTTCACACATTTGTAAACAGAGTGTCACTGAGGTCCTGCTGATGTAAATGTTCTCTTCTCACTGCTGCCACTTGCACCTGTTTGGGCTGCTTGCAATGGAGTCCTGGCTATGGTGACCTCTGTTGCTTGTGGATCACACATTCTTCCACATGGATGCAGATCCTTGCTCATTTCCATACCATAAGTGATGACATCATCCCAATCTGCTTGTGACTGGCCTGAAAACAAGGAGGGTATTGCCTCCCCTCAGACTGGGTTTCTCGTAGGAAGATCCTCTAGAAGGCAGAGTTCTGTCCAAGCATCGTACGTGGTCCAGTGAGCTTTGCCTGCAGCCGTGCCTTCCTGATGCTATGGTCTCCTTCACCCATTGTGGCAACTGTATGTATCTAGACTAGCAACATTGCCAAGCACTCAGATAAAAGAAAAAATACCATACCATGCATCAAAAGAGGAGTTACCATATTTCTCTTGACAATTAGTTGGGCTCAGGCATTTTTTCCTATTTCTTTGCAATTTGGTGTCAGTTTTTTTTTCTATCACCCACCTCCACCCCCTTTCCTAATGTGACATGACATAAATGACTAGATCCCATCCTGGCTTGGTGCAAGTTCCTGCTCTCTATATTGTGCACAGACACTTTTTTAAGCATATGATTTTAACAACGATTATGTGTTTTCCAAATGTTTCCACTGATTATCAGCAATATACAATAACCTGTATATATTTAAATTTATACAGTTTGAAAAGTTGTGGCATTAGGTATTTTAATTTGATTAAAGTTTCAAGTAATATTTCACAATTTTTTAAAGAACATGCATACATCATTGTGCATATTGCGTATGTGGGCATACAAGCGTTTGTATTTGTGTGAGTTTAGAGAAGATACTGGAGACATTCAGAGGGATTGGACAATGTAGATGCCTAGAGGGAGATTCTAACACATTCACACATAATTTGAGCTATGAATATTCAGGGAAGGAGCTATATTAAGATGATAGACAAGGTGTGAAGTTTAAGTATCCCAAGCACGCATGGGTAGAAAATGTTGGACCTAGGACACAGACCCAGTGATCCTGGTTTCCACTCCTTTCCCGTTACTTTGTTCTATTCTGTAGCCAAGGTATACCTCTCAGGTATAAAATCCCACTTCACACTCTTCAAAACTACTTTGTAAGGAAAAGATTCACATCAATGCAGTAGACTAGTCATCTACCATGTATGAGTTCCCATCCGCCTTGCAATGCAAACTATGTCAACAAGCTCCCTGCTTGACACAAGTTTCTCCCAAGGTCATTGTTGTCTGATAGGAAATATAAAGCAAAAAGAAAATTCACTATGATTTATGCCAAGTACCTTCCCAACCAACATGCAAACAAGTATAAAAAAAGGGCAAGGAAAGAACCATAATCACCCAATCCATGCATCCAATAGTATACTATTTAACAATAAAATGAATGAACAGCTGATATTTGGAATACGCAAGCACATGAGAAATGAAAATAAAAGATGAATATAAAAGGCTGTATGTTTTATGAATCCATTGGTTGACATTCATGAAAAGGCAAAACAAAAGGGACAGGAACCAGATCACTGCAGATGCTAGAGATAAGTAGAGGAAGTTGACTAAGATGTGTATGAAGCAATTGCACAGGGCTATGAAATATAATTTATACACTGAATGTCGGGATCATTCCATGACTTTGTACATTTTTCAAAACTCAGAATTGTTGACTTGAAAAGAGTAAACTTTAGAGTTTTAAAATTATGCATCAATAGTCATGAATTTAGACTTTAAACAATTCTAATTTTAAAAAAATGGAAAGGAAGATAAGCAAATGAAGTCTGGGTTACAGTAATGTTGAGGAAGTAACTGTGGTGGGAGTGAATCTTAGGATGCAATTTAAAGAAACAAAATGCCAATATTAATGCCACAATGTCTAGGAAAGGAAAGAAGAGAGACTAATTTTTCATATTTAATCACTTATTTAAGAGGCATTTCAACTTATCTAAGCACATTTGTCTGCCTTGACCAGAAATTGATAAAAGACAATGGATGTTCTTTTTATAATGATGAAAACAATATTTAAACATAAATGCCTCCTTGCAGAGCTTAACTCTAGAGTGCCTAAAGCAGTCACTTGCTCTTCCTCTCTTATTTCTTGTCTCCCTGGCCATAAGAACAATGCAATTTCATCTACATTTGCTGGGAAATTCTGATGTCCATTTTTATTTTCACCTTCAGTTGACTTCTAAATTCTGTGCCGTGAGAAACAGTCCTTTCTTCTTGCTAAGTAGATGTAGTCCCGCACTGCTTATTGAACATCTGTGGTGGCCAATTAGCGCATGGAAAGGAGAGTGAGGCTGCAATAGATGTGCAATGTATCCTGCCCTTTGGAAGTCGACAGCTTACAGAGTAAGATGCAATAAGAGCCTCTGCTTGGACATGGCTGGTGCTGCTCTGAACAATTCATGGAAGAGTTCCCCGGAAGCGGATGTGCATTCTGGACCAACGAGCCTTATGAATGAACTTACTTTAATGGAGAGGATAGATAGTGATGATCTAGCTGTTACAATGCCACACCTTGCTCTTGTTGGTAGACTAAACAAAAAAGAATGTCTTTATTTCATAAGGGGGATCATGAGGGTGAAAAAGAGTACTCCCGAGGCACAAGGGAGCTGTTTTCATCCCCAGTTCAAATGAAGATACTGCAGCATCTTCTTGCTAAGGATGCCAGTAGCAAGAGATGTCAGGGGCAAGAACTAAAGTGGCAGATGCTATTTAGTAATTGAGAAATTGTGTTCACAAGCTTAGGAATTTCCAGAAAGAATTAGAGAGGATTATTTTTAAGGACCAGAAATAGTATATTGCAGATTACAATAGAGTTAGTACATTCAGGTAAATCTGTAACTAATGCACCCAATCTTATTTGCTTTGGTGATGTGGTGAGCATATATGGCAAAATGCTACGTATAGAGTTAAAAGTCTACATATTTCCTCAAGGAATGGGGCAGACTACAACTACCACTAAATTCAGCAGTACGATGTAAGATAATTTCCTGGTGAAAGGAAGGCCTGAGATCAACAGCTGACATATTTATCTCACAGCCACAGTTCTGCAGAAACAGTGTGCAAAAACTCATCAGAAAAGAAGTACCTTTTGCTTAAGAGCATCTTTTGATAGTTCTTTGAGGTCATGGTAAGTTGCTTTTAGGTTTTCAGGGATAATATTCACTGCATACAATGGAGACTTGATGAATGTCTTTGAACTAATATTTTACTTTTTAAAAATCTGTTTTCATCTACTTGAAAGGCAAAGAAATGGAGCTCCTCG